TGAGCTCTTCTGTAGCCATTTTGTAAGCAAATTGAAAACACGCTAATAAAACGGCTATCGTGTTCCATTCGGGAGGAAAGGGGGCCAGCCTACCCGCTCTGCTCATGGAAAACGCAGGAAAGCTCCCTCCAAATTCAGAAACGTGAATGAGATTCAACAGAGTGGAAATCTGAGCCTTGCCTTCGTTCGAAAATTCGGAATTTTGTGCGGTGCTGACAACAGAGTAGCCCATAGGGACGTAAGTGGCATCTAACATGTCACCCTACAGACGCTGAAGAGAGGAGGGGCGAGTAAAAAGAGGCGAGATGTGGAATGAAAGGATTTGTTCACCCTTGGCTGAATCTGTCTCCTGGAGATGCTGAAGACCATCAAGAAGGATCTACCCAGGACAGATCTGAAGAAAGCTTGCTGCACAAAGCACGCGGTGCCTTCCACTCCCTCGCCTGGTGTTTCTCTGTGTATTTTTTTTTTTTTTTTTGTATCTTGTATGTTATCATCCTGGAACAATTTCGGATGTGAGATGCTTATTCCTTCTGGGGCATTGGAAAGCGTCCTGGGTGAGGTACTGGCATGACATACTTCCCTGATAACAGAGCTGGCTTAGCTTTTAGTTATGCAGGAGAGGAAGGGCTGTAAGAAGCTAAATTATTGGCAGAGAACCACTGAACTGATGGAAGGAAAAGCTCTGCTCGCTCAGTGATTCCACCCTTAAGAACACGCCACAGAATCGTTCCCTTAAGGGCAGTTTTTATGGCTGCTTCCAGGATAATTTAAAAACATCACTGCCTAACCATCCCCCACTTCCCTACGATTTATTGATAAAGGTCCTCCTATCAGGAGGACGCGTCTGATTTCAAGCTTTGATGTTTCCTTTCTTCATTTCACACCATCATTGCCAGGAGAGCTGTCTTCTCTCCTCCTCAACAATTCCTTGCTTCCAGCAGCATTAAGACATCGGCTGGATTTTGCCCTACAAACCCCACCAGCTCCTGCTCTTTTCCATCTTCCCCATACGCCATGCGCAGCATCTCCCACTTTATCCATCAGCTGGCAACATCTGCCCTCCTTGCTCATTTTTTCATACAATCACAATCCAAACCCAATCCCTTGGCATCGCAAAGCCGCCTTCATCCCCGTGCTGGCTCGGAGAGCAGCGTCCCCGTCCCCACCCTCCATCCACCCCCCACCACGGCTGCGTTTCAGGCTGCTGCTATCTTTCTGAAAGTGAGCCAGCAATTCTCTATGCCAGAAATTTCTCATTATACGTTGCCCAGCCCAAAGCTCAGGAACTCTTGATCCCTCCAGCTCCCTCAGAACACAATGAACAAAGGCAGAAAATAAGCCACTATTTGAAAGTGTCACATTCATTGGAGATGAGCTGCAGAAATAACTCTGCAAAACCCTGAACTCGGAGGATATTTCGGTTCAAATCCAAACTTGGTGATGTATGCACTTTTTTTTTTTTTTTTTTAACAGATAGAAAAAGGACATCATTTTCCTTCTGGGGGAGAGCAAAACTCATCCAGCCTACGCAGCTGCAGCCCCCTCACGTGCTTAGGGATCAGGGCTTGAGCTGGCGTCTGTTATCAGCACAGAAGATCTTGCATAAGAAAAGCATCTTTATTCTCCAGGGATTGAACCGGAGCCTTAATTCCAGGTGCCATTTGCATTAAGAGATACGTATCACTATGGGAAAGGAACAACATTATCTCTACTCCTGCCTATTCCCACCAATAAACGGCCCCAGATTAGTGCTACAGGCTGGTGCCTTAAGGAGGGAGACATCGTTAATCAGCGGCCGCAGTGACACGGGCGCTGACCTTTGGCTCAAACACAATCCCATCTGCTGACTTCCCTCCCCAGGAAGAAATCTTCTAAGCAGAGAACACAAGCTCCTGGGAACTAGGGAAGAATTTCACATGGACATTTAATCTCGTTTTAATATTTCCTGGATGCTCAGCTTGGATAAGGAATCTGAGAACAAGAGGGACGACATCTCCTCCTTCCTACAGCAAGACGGTCTCGGCGCACGCTGAGGAATCCCTCCTTTGACCAGCTATAAAAGCAGAGACTCAACAAGGAGAACTCCTTTGAGGCTTTGGAGCACACCTGGATAAAGAAAATATCCTCTTATGGCTGTGGTCGTTATTTCGATTAAAGTCCTTCACCCAGGCTGGAGGTTGCCTGGACCGAGGGATCGGGAATTCGGTGCTCTGTCCATCAGCTGGACCAAACAGTTGGCTCCTGAGGTATCAAAGCACGCAGCAAGCTGAGACAAGGCTCAAATATTCCTATAAATAAAGTGTTACAATCAGATGAAGCCCTGACAAGCCACTGTCTCTCTGGTCCCCTGTTCACGTCATTTCGGTGACTCACACGGGTACACATCCTTGACGGGAGCCGTGCTAACCCCAAGGTCAAAAAAAAATCCTCTTCACCTTCCCACTGCCTGCTGG